ATACATACTTTATTTATTGAATATCAAATGTGTACAATACATTTATTGGGTATTCAAACGAAATAGTGATGACATTATTAAATATTTACAACACATAGGGCATAAATTATTTTAACTATTATAATCACTAGGACATAAAGACATGAGAATCTAAGGGATTGGGAGCCTATTCAAAGTCTCCAAATATGTCGTTGGATGCATATTCCACGATCATATTCCCCGTATCCGTAAGATCCTCGCCTCCTCGTATGTTGTTGCTGCTTGGTTCCATTGGAACTTGTTGCGAACATCCAGCCTCATTCCTGGTGGTGCCAGGTCGAATGTTGAAGTGGGCTTCATACTTCTGTCCTGGTGTAGCACGTCCGCGACCCACAGACTTTAAGTAGAGATCAACAACATGACTTGGGGTAAGACATTTCTTTGTAGTATGGTTATAACAACCACACTTCTGACACACAGGTTTGTCATTCCTGTGTTTGGAAATGTTCTTACCATTGTTGGAAACACGAGTTTGGGATTTCTTATTGCATCTACGTTGTTTTTTTACCTTTTTTGGAATTTCCCGGAGGATGGGTCTTAGAAAGTCCACCATCAAAATTGGGTTTATTCTAAGTGTAGGCATGTACTTTAGGCAATGGAGCAGACCCTACGAGACGCTGTTGATTATTCCAAACCATAAGTTCAGAATGTTTTTCGGCCTCAAGTAAAGTTTGTATAAGCTCATAATAAACCTAGAAACACCTTTCACAGTATTGTTGTTGAAGAATCCTTTCAGAGGGAAGCATAGTAGATAGTCTTTTCTATTTTATCCGCATCTGTAGGTTCTTTCTCGCAGAATTGCAACTTTGAGCAAATCATATGAACAGTATGGTTGTAATCACTCACAGTTTTAAAATCCTGTAAGCGAAGTTGCGTCCACTCGTAGTTGACCGCAGGCAGGACAAGTGCCTTTTGTTGTTCATAGCGTTGCTTAAGAGAGTTCCACAGATTTCGTGGGTTCTCTTCCAACAAGTATTCAGCCTTAAGATCAGGATGAATATGGCTTCTAATGAGATATAGGGTCGTGTATACATGTTGATCATCAAGTGGTGCAACACCCTCTTCGGGTGGTAACACAGCTTGATAAAGTCCACGGGACGCAAGACTAACTTTTACGTCCACAGTCCCATGTTGGATAATTGTGGGCGTCTAGAGCTAACAATTGAAACTCTTTAACGGTCATTGATCCTACATGAGGCAAACCATCGAAATATTTTAAGTTATTAAAATGTTGTGGTGTGTTGTAATTATGGGATGCAAAATAGAGACAAGATAAATCTTGTATTATTAATGGTGTAAAGATCTCATGTGCATAAATTGTAAAATGGAGGTAGTCACCATAAGGTGTAGACCTCAAATGGGGCATAATCTGTATTAACAGTAGATGCCAAGTAATTATGCAAGTTGTATAAACACGTCTTAAGGTAATCATTAAGAATGATGTAGACCTTAGTCAATTCGCAAACAAATTGGATACGTACGTTGAGGATAGTCACTAAGTTGTGGACTTAGTGTAGATCCCATAGTAGCAACTATGGTGCTACCTTGTGTATAGCCAATAGAAATGCGAATTAATGGTAGTCATCTTTGTGAAAAGATGTAGACCAAATGTTCTCATTTGTGATGTTGGGTACGCACGTTGAGGATAGTCACTAAGTGTTTACTTAGTGTAGATCCTGCAGTAGCAACAGTGGTGCTACCTTGTGTATGGCCAACAAACAAATAGGGACACATGTGCGTTATACAATTGATGAGAAAATATACATAAAATGCTGCATCCATTATTTAAGCGCGTAGTGCTTTAAAGTCGAAAAACATAAAAGAAGCTTAAATAAAATGATCGATTGCAAAAGTGATAAATGAATAAATAATTTGCAAGATCATGGTCGTAATAACAAGGATATTATTTATTGGATTTGCCATACATACAGGGACAAATACTTTGAATAATATCATAAATGGGTATTTTACAATGATAAAATATCACAAGTACAACTATAGTTAAAGTCAGCGACTAAACATAAGAGTACTTAATTCTACAGCACATAATTATAAGAGACTAACATAGTCATTGACGAATTAATGCTGAAAAATAAACAAAACAGATAAGAAGCCAGGCCAAAGAAAAGCCATTTTCATTTGGGCCCAGCCTGGTCGAGTCAGCATGCACAGGGGAGAGGAGGGAGGGCAGAGCAACGGCCTTGGGCTGGCCCATCGTCGCGCGCGCAACCCTTAAAAGGGGGGGTCGGGCGGTAGTTAGGGTTTTAGCCCCTAACTGCTCGCCGCCGCTGCCATCTCGGAGGCCGCCACCGCTGGTTGTCTCCTCACCACCGCGCTCCACTGTGCTGCCACTGCTCGCCATCTTCAGTTGGAAGAGGACTCCCCCTCGTCGGGGGAGTAGAAGCCGCCACCCGTCGACGGCCATGTTCAGGACCTCCGCGCTCAGGAGGCCGAGCACCGCCGGGTTCCAAGAACCAGCGCGGATGCTGGGGCGCCGGTCGACTGCCGCCACCCTGCGGCCGAGGAGACGTCGGAGCGTTGGGGGCGTGGTGGCGCTGCCCTCAGCAGAAGTTGGAGGAGCCGCCGGGAGAGCCTTCTCCTTCATGCGGGCCGCAGCCTCCACGCGTGTCGCGGGCGGAGGAGGAGCCGTTGGCGGGGTCACCGTCGGAGGAGGAGCCGAGGGGCCCGCGCGTGCCGGAGGCGGAGCCAAGGGTCCGGCCCTATCGAGGAAGAAGTACGGCGAGACGCCAGTCCTCACCGCGCTGTTGAAGATGTCGCCGAGGCCGAGACCGGTCACCACATCCTCCTCTTCCTCAACCTTCACGGCGTCAAGCGCGGGAGCAGCCAGCGTGTTCAGGAACCATGGATCGAGCGGGGGGACGCCGTTGCCTGTCGCCACTGGAGTCGGAGAGGCTGGTGTGGGCGTCGGCAGCGAGTAGGCGTACTCGAGCGTGTGCGGGATCGAGGTGAACTCCTTGCAGAAGTCGCACCAGAAGCGAGGCGGTGCCGGTGCCGGCAACATCGGCTCCATGGGGACATAGGTGGGCGTGGCCACCACAGCTTCAACGGGCGGCGCCGGGGCTTCGACGACTGGTGGCGCTGGGGCTTCAACAGCGCACGGTTCGACGTTGCTGGGGCCGACACCGTCCAAGCCAAGGCGAGGAGATGGTGGCTGGCTCTGCAGACAAAGATCGCGCGGAGGAGAAGCATGACGACCACAAACAGGAGTCCATCGGCGGCGAGGAACTGCATTGGCACGGAGGCCACGAACAGCAGAAAGGACCATGGCCATGACCATGGGCAATGTTGTGGCGAACACGAGGCCCAAGGCGCTCGAAGACGCTGCGGCGTTGTCCATGGTGGCCGTGGTGGCGGATCGGGCCACGGCGAACTCCACCGACGCGGCGAAGGGCGAAGAGCAAGCCACGGACAAGATGTGAGGGTAAATTGATCTTTGCCATGCTTACCGATGGTGGTGCAGAGGCATACGTGCCTCTGTTGTCGTTCTGTCGTTCTCCTTCTCCCGTTCCTGAGAGCAACGTGTCTGATAACGTATTGCAAAGTGAATGAAATGAACAAAGATTTGGGAACCACTTCTGTGTTTCATTGATCTCATAGAATATATACAAGTAAAGGGGTGTGTCCAAAGAACACAACTGACGGGAGAAGTTACATCTCGTCATCAAGAGACATGCCCCTTCGGTGACACAGTTAACTGTAAATCTAATCTCTAATCCTATCTCTAACTGCATGTCTAATTGGATGAGATCACCGATGAATAGGTGTCTGCTGGCAGGCACCGTTTCGTAACAGTAACCTCCCTAATAACGAAGAGAGGAGAGAAAGGTGCTCTCAAGCAGCAGCTGACTGCTCTTGGGCTTATTAACACAATCGAACACGCGTTGCAGCAAGCTACGACACCCGCCGCCGGTGCACAAACTGATGAGCAGAAAACAGTCAAACCAAAGGTACCACTGTTGACAGCTACACGACGCTGATGGAGAAGTGGAACGAGACGAGGAAAAGGAAGATGTAAATCAAGATGCACTCCCGGTCCTGGATGTTCACCAGAAAGCAGGCGTCTCTGGTGGCTGGTGCAGCAGGATTGCCGACGTGAGCCTTCAAGTTCTGGCAGGCTGTGCAAAGAGCCGCTGAATTGGGGATTCAGAAAATTGTTCTGGCAACTGATGCGACTTCAGTAGTTCAAGCAGTGACCTCTACAATCGCTGATCGTAGCTCGGCTTGTGGTTTGATCTGGGAACTCAAGGATGCATTAACTTCTAATTTTGTGTCAAAAATTGTAGCATATAACTCTCTGTCATGTAATTCAGTAGCGCATGCTTTAGCGAGTTTAGGTGCTAGTCTTGATTCAGACATGAACTCGGTCAGGGATTCTATCCCGGCTTGTATCCAGGTGTTGGTTGCCAATGATTTGGCACCGGTTGATGAGTAATGGAGTCTGCTTCCATGTTAAAAAAAAAGTTCTGGATTGGCCTGCCCAACTCTCGAGGAATTTGATCAGAATATCAGATATTCCATTTGGAATTTATGTTTTCAAAAAAAAATGGAATTTCAGACATCAATATTAGTCAGCTACCAATGGCCAAAAAAGAGCAATCGAGACGAACACAAAAGAGCCTCTCTCTCTTTTTTCCCTTCTTGTTTACCAAGCGTTTGCTTGGGGCGTGGTCTCAACAGTATTTCACAATAACAAAAAAGGGGAGGCAACAAATGCAGATCAACAAGGCTGCTGAACTACATCGCAGTAAGGTTGGTCAAAATGAGAATCGGTGGCAGGTATTTACTCCGTGTTCACCTCGGAGTCCCTGACCTTATCACAGTGGCTGTACCATTATAGAATGTGAAGGTCAACGTATGCAGTTAGGGTACTGGATTTTCGGATGCCCTGACCTTATCACCGTGGCTATACCATGAAAGAATGAGATGTCCAAGGTCTGCAGTCAGGTACCAGAGGTTCGGATGTTTTTGGAGAACTTGGTACAGTCAAATGGTCCAACATCTTGTGCTTTCCGTTTAACCTGCAGTGATTTGCAATGAAAAGCTGTTACATTATACACTGAATGAATGGTTCGTAAGGAAGTCATTCATCGGTTGAGCTAATTTTGTTCTTGGTAAGGTGACCTTCGCATCTATCAATCTATTCAAATAGTTTCAGATTACTGTGAATACAAATTGTCGACTTTAACATTAGAATTTTTTGTTGGTATAAATGTACTGCACATGAAACATCATGGCTTACTGAACAATGAAGTTCCACTCCTGTGTTTTGAGAAACTATATTTCAAATTTGAAATTTTGCAAGAGCATTACCGGCGACCAAGGACTGGGTTCTGGAGCTGTTTTGTCAGGAGGAGAATTTTGCACAGCACCAGTCTTTTGTTCCAAAACTTCCTGACAAGAATGTATCACACTCAGCTCAGTGACAAAAAAAGGAATTTGCAAGCTGCTAAATGCTACCACTAGTATTCTATGCTCAGAAGGGCGGGCCTGGTGCAAGTGGTAGAGTCTTACCGCCTGTGACCGGAAGGTCCCGGGTTCGAGTCGCGGTCTCCTCACATTGCACAGGCGAGGGTAAGGCTTGCCACTAACACCCTTCCCCAGACCCCGCACAGAGCGGGAGCTCTCTGCACTGGGTACGCCCTTTTTTAGTATTCTATGCTCAGCTAGTCAGTTGCTGGGAAAAATCTCAGCTAGTCAGTTGCTGGGAAAAATATAAGACTGAATGATCGGTACAGTTAGATTTATTGATTCAGTTACTTGTTCCTAAATATTATGGCTCATTGCCATGGACTTCTAGTAACCATATAACAATGTTTTCATGTCGTCTGATTAATCGCGATTAATCGTCCTAATCGGTCCTTGCTGACTGATTAGGGGTACCGTCGACTTGTACAAGTCGTCCGATTAATCGTGATTAATCGTCCTAGTCGGTCCCATGGCGACTAGGTTCGACTGGACGACTTGAAAACATTGCCATATAATGCAGCAAAACCCAGGAAATATGGAAAGCCTTTCCCTAGTACCAGGAGAATGGATTAGTGGCATGCAGCCAAATATAAAAAGCAAAGGCCAAAAACTGGAAAGCTGACTTGTGCTGCCTGTACTAAAGGATTGTAAAGAAATTAGCATGGTAGCAAGTTATGAAAATAAAGGGGAAAAAGAACCCATAGACTACACTTGTTAACAAGTCACAATAGCATGTACTTTACTACTTTTATTAGGTAGCTAGGTATGCAGACCTGCCCATGAGCCTCCATTACAGCAAGCCATTCTTCTGTAAATGGTACCAAGTTCTTCAGATGATCTTTAAGGATTGTATTTGCTGGTGATCTGTCTGGTGCCTTGTTCTTTCTGTAAAAGATGAGAATGAAACATTATAAATGCAGTTGCAAGTCAACTGAATGTATGCAGTCAAATATTAAACAGACATACTCTATATGTGGTGCATCCTGTATAGCTGACAATCTGTCTGTGTCAAGCACCATTTTTTCTTCAATATTTGGTTCTACTAATAAAGCATGCCGTCTTTCCACACAAGGTGTAGAAGCTTCCAATTTCATAGGAGAACAATCTGTGGTCCTATAATTGTGAATAAGCCCACACCCCACATCTAACAAAGGAGTTGCCTTTACATCTAATGTACTGTTTGTTTCAAGCTCCATTTCACCTTCAGTATTTGGTTCTTCTGACAAAGCTGGTTTAGCTTCATCACACAAAGAATCATTCAAATCTGAATGACTGTCAGCTAGGGTTGGCGTTTCATCTCTTAAACTGCCACAATGTGGCAACTGATCTGCACATATTGTAGATAATGATTCCATTAGCATAGGACATTCAATATTCTGGTGATCAAAGGAATAAAATCCTTGCAACAAATCAAGAGTTGGAGTGCAACTGCTACCTTTCAACAAAAAAGCTCCAAGTGCAGTCTCTCCAACATTAGAGTTTTCCAAGTCAATTGCTGCACTGGAATCACTGTCTGACTTGCCTTGACAACTAAGCTCACTAGAGGAGCATACTTCAGAAGAAATGCAAGAGGGTGACAATTTACTCCCTACAATAGGTTTGGTTGAGGAATAACTAGCTTGAAGAGGGAACGAATCCTCAACAGGTTCAATGGTTGAGGAACAAATAGCTTCAAGAGAGTAGGAATTATCAAGAGGTTCAATCTCTCTGATACCGCCCCTTCCTTCTATATGCGATGTCCCATTGTACACAACTGGCAGTGGCACACTATTTCCGGCATCATCATTCTTTTCTAAATTCATTGGCTGTGGAGTAGTAGTAGCTCCAGTTCCTGCCAATGAGAAATCAGCCTTTGGCCTTGCTTGATTATTTACATTTCCAGGTTTTTCTATGTATGTAGTAATAACTTTTGACAACGATTCCTTTTCTGGAATCACCAAAGATTTGAGATTGCTCTCTCTAGTCACAGATGGCACAAGATTGGAAGCAGCAGTGCAATTGGTTGACAGCTGCTTTGTTAGGTGGGGTCTGCTTTCCTCAGACTGCCTGTATCTGGGTGGTTTATCAAGCGCTGAAGTATTTGAAGAGAAGCACCTCCCCATGTTTCTTTTAGCTGCATCACCGTGTGACACAAGCACTTTTTCCTGAACAGATCAGTCAATCAATCATATTTGACAAATGAGCCCTCACAGGAAAATATAAAACAAAACACAAGTGCAAAACTAACAGACTCAAAGTTACAGAATAAGATATTACAAATCAAAAATACACCTAGAATAGTGCAAGAGTGAGCATGATAGGCCGTAGGGCGCATGGATTTACATATATTGATCCCCTAGGGACTCTGTTTCCTATAGTGATACAAGATTACAACAAATGAACAGATTGATTTGAACTAATGAAAGAGTCCCAACAACTATATCTGGAAAGGGTAGAAAGGAAAGCAATCTTAGGTACCTAATAGGCTAATATACAATATGTTGACAAATACAAAACAGTTTTTCAGGTAACTTTCATATCATACTATGTGTTTGCACAATTAATCAACTATGCATAACTATGTAACATTCAATAATGAAATCCTCCAGATGTACCAGACCTCATATTTTCCCATACATTTGATAAGAACTTAGCCCAGAATCACACATTTGTTTATTTCTCAAATTTGCTATCAAGCCAGCTTATCATTATATTGTTGAGAAAATAGGAAATGCACCAATGCATTACACCACAACAAATAAGGCAATGTTCTAAAAATGGAAGGACATAATAGACTACCTGATTGAAAAAACCAACTGAAGGTGAAGGCATTCGAAGTGCTGATAGCTTAGCAAATTTTGACGCAGCGCTATCAAAGGGGCTGGATGGACTAATTTGTGGGTGTGCTGGATTTTTTTTGCATTTCACAGAAGCACTGGCTTCTTCACGTACTCCAGTAACAGCAGGCACCTGCAAAAGAAAACAGTTTGTTTAGGAACACTATTAAATATTGATTGACAAAAGATGCAGGCAAATTGGACAAGTGGGGATGCAGACCATATCAGTTATGATGAATTGAATATATAACTCACCGCATCCTTCTCTATGCTAGGTCCAGAAGATACAGAATTGATCTTCAATCTAGTAGGCAATCCAGTTACTCTGTGAACTAGCTCAGCTTTAACTGAAAAAATAGCAGTATATTGCATCAGACAGCTAGTTACACATGAGTGCCAAGAGCTAAGTCAAATAAACATACTTTATCACTGGGAAATCCTGCATGGTCTGGTAAAATAGAATTCCAGAGTTCGCCAGAAACCCAGTTTCTTTAGGGCATATACAAAGATTACCTGGAGCTATTTTTGTGTGTGATTCCAAACTGTTTGTCGCAGATGAAGTACTTCTTGGGACCTTAGGAAGAGAAGGTCGTGATTGCTTTGGTATTCTTGACATCTGAGCTGTAGAAGCAGATGAGTTTGGTACTTTCTTCTGTGTATATCTAAGTTAAGACTAACAACATTTGTAGTGATGAATGAATACTTAAACTTGTGGCAACGTATGGACAAATAAGTCAACCCTACTGTTATCAAGGGAAAAACACTAAGGCCTGCTCAATCCTGCCTAAAACTTTGTTAGGATATATAGATCCTGCTGGTACTCTTGGTGAGCATATTTGGATGCTTCTTGCAGAGCTTCTGTTTTGTGTTCCCTGCAATTGGTTGGGCAGAAAACAGCAATGTTATTGGATGATTGTAAGTGCTACAACCATAACAAGTAAACAGTGTCTCTAAAAGAAACAAGTAAAGAATGTGTTGAGTAATGAACTGACAGCAGGTTCTTTCTGTTTGTCCCTCTGAGGAGTTTTTGCTGAAGAAAACAATTTCCTTCCCTGGCTTTCTGCCCTGTGATATCTTGCATGCAATTTTCCATGTGAATTCTCTGCGGCTTCCTTCCGCACATATGTGTTACCATATCTCCCTGACTGACACGATGGGGACATTATACTACTGACCCCTGAGCCAAGGCTCCTATTTGCCATCGGTTGGGAGCCAGTAAGCACAGAAAGCTCCGAATTATCCAAAACACCTACAAAGTTTATTGATGTTACTATTAAACCAGATCCAGGACAAACCAAAGCGCAGAGTTGACGAAGAAGAACCATACCTTCTTCAGTGAAAAAAGCAGGGTTCCAGGCAATGCTTTTCCTCAAGTTGAAACCTGCAGGCTTCTTCTTCCACCTTGTAGAGGCAGACCCTTCTTTAGGCAAGGTTGCAAAATCCAAGGGAGCATCTCCATCTTGAGAAATATTCTCTTTGTTGCCTGTGTTTATGTGTGGCAATAATGAATATATATTTAAGATTAGGATGGTATCCCTGAGTTCATGGTATAAAGTGGGCACAACCTATTGAACTGAACTTTGTAAGTTAGCAAGCATGGGCCTGTGGGAGCAGGAGAGCACTGCATCTAAAAGTATGCGAAACCGTGTTTTTCGCACTATAACAGTGGCAGGGAAGCACACTGGCACAGACCTAAACAAGATCAAGCGCATTGAACTGGATTAGCCACTGACGCAGAACCCAAGCGCCAGGCATCTTGTGAATCCCAGCGAGTAAACCAGAGACCACGAGTCACTAGACCCGAAGAAATTAAGCGCCATCCATGCAAAGAAATGTAACAACTACTGGGGCTGGAGCAGGAAAACCCTAGCAAAATTGGGGAGCAGAAGCGAAGACGGAGAGATTGGTGGAGAAAGAGCGCCTCACCGGATCCGGCAGGCACGGAGGGAATGCGGCGCGGCGACGCCATGCGCGTATCTCAGGCGAGACCCCGTTTGAGATTTTGGGATCCGGAGGACGGAGGGAGACGGTGCGATGGGCCCCAAGAGGCCAAGACGGTTTGGTTTGAATCGTTTGAAACGGAAACGCGAGGCAGCGGGAGCTGCGGGGGTTTTTTTTTTCTTTCCTCCCTCATCACGTGACGTTTGGACCATTGGATTTGATGCCATGCCATACAGATTTGGGAATTGGAAAAACTACGCGTTGTTGTGGGACATTTTGCTTCCTGTCGTAGATCACAGTGCGGGACATTTCTTCGTTGCATGGATCACGGGTATAAAGGAACGTGAAAAAATGAAATAACAAAAAGCCATTGATAGTAAGATGGAATTATAAGTACTCCCTCTATCATAAATTATAAGTTATTCTAAAAATCTTGAAGAGTCAAAGCATCTCAAGTTTGACCAAAGTTTTAGAAAGAATTATAAAAGTTTTATGACATCAAATAGATATACTATGAAAATATAATTAATGAAGAAGCTAATGATACTTAGTTGATATCATAAATATTAATATCTTATCATATAAGTTTGGTCAAACTTGAGATATTTTGACTCTCCAAAATTTTTAGAATGACTTATAATTTGGGAGGAATGAAGTATATATAGAAATATTTAATGCTATGTTGTACATACGATGGATGGTGGCATCACTGTGAGAACACCAATGTGAGGACCCTTCCCTCGTCTCTCTCTGGGCCTCGTTTAGTTGGCGAATTTTTTTGGAAAATAGTACTGTAGCATTTTCGTTGTTATTTGATAATTAGTGTCCAATCATAGTCTAATTAGGCTTAAAAGATTCGTCTCGTGAATTTCGTCTAAACTGTATAATTAGTTTTATTTTTTATTTATATTTAATGCTTCATGCATGCGTCCAAAGATTTGATGTGATAGAAAATCTTGAAAATTTTTACAAAATGGGGGCAACTAAACAGGCACCTGGTCACATGTTCTTTATCATGAATCGTGTGTGGTAGATTTGTAGGAGTATTGTTCTGAGCAGGTTATTAACAAAGGCAAATTAGCAGTTTTTGTTCAGCGTGAATGTAAGGGGCTTAGACCATAGTTATTAGGATCGGACCGGACATGAAATCGGTGAGGACATTGATTCACTGGTCTAACCGTTAAGAACCAATTGAACTGCCCACAAATACTTCAAACCGGTTTAAATCGTTTGAAACGGAAATGCGAGGCAGCGGGAGCTGCGGGGGGGTTTTTTTTTCTTTCCTCCCTCATCACGTGACGTTTGGACCATTGGATTTGATGCCATGCCATACAGATTTGGGAATTTGAAAAACTACGCGTTGTTGTGGGACATTTTGCTTCCTGTCGGAGATCACAGTGCGGGCCATTTCTTCATTGCATGGATCACGGGTATAAAGGAACGTGAAAAAAATGAAATAACAAAAAGCCATTGATAGTAAGATGGAATTATAAGTACTCCCCCCATTATAAATTATAAGTTATTCTAAAAATCTTGAAGAGTTGAAGCATCTCAACTTGAAGTCATTCGTATCCTCCTTGCATATGTATCGCATCGTGAAATGAAACTATATCAAATAGATGTTAAAAATACATTTTTAAATGGCTTTATAAATGAACTAGTCTATGTTGATCAACCTCTCGAGTTTGAAGATCCTAGATATCCTAATCATGTTTATAGGTTGTCCAAGGCGTTATATGGGCTTAAACAAACCTCAAGAGCTTGGTATGAACGTTTTTAGGATTTTCTCATTGAGAAGGGCTTCACCATTGAAAAAGTCAACACCACACTATTCACTATGAAGCTTGATGGAGAAATTTTCATTTGTCAAGTATATATTGATGATATCATCTTTGGATAATCAAATGAAGATTATTGCAAAGAGTTTGGTGAATTGATGTCGAAGAAGTTCAAGATGTCAATGATTGGAGAGCTTATATTCTTTCTTGGTTTTCAAGTCAAGCAAATGAGAGAAGAGATTTTCATCTCTCAAGAAAAGTATACCAATGATCTTCTTAAGAGGTTCAAAATGGATGAATGTAAGTCAATCAAGACACCAATGTCATCTAATGGACATCTCGACCTAGATGAGGGAGGTAAAACGGTTGATCATACTCTCTACCGCTCTATGATTGGTAGCTTTGTTATATTTGACCGCATTTAGACCCGACATCATGTTTTGTGTGTGTATGTGTGCTAGATTTCAAGCTAATCCTAAGAAAGCTCATTTGGTTGCTGTTAAAAGAATCATTAGGTACCTTAAGCACACACCAAGCATTGATCTTTGGTATCACAAAGGAGCTAGATTCCAACTAGTTGGCTATTCCGATTCGGATTATACCGGTTGTAAAGTTGATAGGAAAAGCACATCCGGAGAATGCCATTTGCTTGTATTCGGTAAACAAATGAGTTATCACACTAAACTATTATCTTCTTAGAATCAAACACTTGTATTTTTTTGACGAAAACTGTGGAGCTTTGCTCATCAAACACTTTGAGGAGCACCGATTGGACCATTAAACTTGTGAATGAACTAGATGATTTAGCAGGGTTCATGACCTGTCCAATTTCAGTATAGTTCTGCCTATTTCTCCGTTAGGATCATGAATTGTTGTGCAATATTTTTTTTCCTTGCGAGATCCAGTTCCCCTGCGGTTTTGGTGCCCTGGTCGGTATCCAAATAGGGCACATGAATTTGTGGTCTACTTGGAAGATATGTATAATTTCCTCCTCTGTATAGAGATCCATTTGAGGCCTGTGATTCTTCGGAACAAAAAATTCTTTGTGTATAGACTAACCTTTGTACAATCTACAATGAGGTGATTGGATAGGGAAGCAACCGAGATGAATGTGATATGATAGGTATTAGGTACACATGACATTGTGGTGCACCACTTTAGTAGCGTATATACTGAACATGATTTCAGTAGTCTACAAATTCAGCTAAATTGTATATACTGAACATGAACATACACAAGTAAGCTGTTCGTTGTGGGAAAAAAAATCAGAAATGGATTGGGCTGTTTGAAATTTCAAGAGTTGCATATAACTTTGAAGTCTGAAAACAAATGCGTCAGTCACACACCACCGAGTCCTGTCATAGAGCAGAAACATCTCTTGATTCATTGCATCCTTGAAAAAATTGGATGAGGATTTCACCTGAAGCATCATCCTTTGCACGGAACTAGCATGTTCGGTTGGCTGGTTCGTATCGTTGCTGGTTCGTTTATGCGAGAGAGAAGTACCGCTGGCTGGTTCAGATGAACAGTGTTTTTCGTGAGGGGGCTAGCAGCCAGCCCCAGCCGATCACGCTGGTGACACTTCTAAGCATTTTGCTATTGAATATTCTCTTCCTTGATTTTTACTGTGTTGTTTTCAGATGAACAGTGTTTTGTGAGGGGCTGGCAGCCAACCCCAGCCGATCACGCTGGTGACACTTCTAAGCATTTTGCTATTGAATATTCTCTTCCTTGATTTTTACTGTGTTGTTTTCAGATGAACAGTGTTTCGTGAAGGGCAGGCAGCCAACCCCAGCCGATCACGCTGGTGACACTTCTAAGCATTTTGCTATTGAATATTCTCTTCCTTGATTTTTACTGTGTTGTTTGGAGCTGCCATATTCTCCTTTTAAACTCAGATATGGATATAGTTTTTTGGCCAAATGCCTCTTGTTTTGTACCATTTCTTTTCTTGGATCTTCCTCTGTTCCTCAATTTGATCCAGCAGCCCCAGATCTTGGAGATATCGCTGTGCTTATCCATGACCACATAATTATTTGAAATATCAATAGGTTCACCAAAACCTGTAGCAGTTCACCCTCCAAACCCTGCTTTCTAATGTCATACATTTTTTTTTGCAAAAAGGTTTTATGTTCATCCTTGTATAGCTGCTCAAAACCCAACCAAAATCTTGCAGTACAACATCATAGGGAGACCTTTTTCCTGTCTGGATACTGAACAAGCTCACTCTCAAAAACTTTCCTTCCCAAGTCATCCATTCATGATGAGGAATTCCAGAAATCAAGCCTCTACTAAAATGTATAACATGCTGTGCTGCTACCTGATACTCCAATTCCTGTGTCTTGTGGAAGTTTCTACTGATATCTGATAGTGCGCTGTTTCCCCATAATTGGCCCCAATTTAAAGGCCTGCGTTTGCAATATCATGAATTTTACGGGAACTGAGGCCTTTAGCGAACTGTTTTGCTAAGACATTAAGTCAGCCTCATAGAAAGTGACACCTCGATGTATATTGTGTAATATACCTTCATACTAGAGGTCCATTGACTCAATCAATGGAGAGCTCTCATATTTGCACCTCAACTTTGAATCTTGTTACAAATTTAGTGAATGCTGAAAATTACTTGTGTAAAACATCTAAACTAAAAGGGTCAGGAAGTTTACTTCTATAATCTCATTCTAGACATCAGCTGTTGTGTTTAATTATATATGCATTCTGATTCCACAAGATGGATCACTAAATGTTAAATTTACTTGAGGATGAATTATTAGATTCAAAATATAAAAGGTATACCTAGTGCTGAAAGTTCCCACACAAGTTAGGGTCTGGGGAGGGGATTTTCTACCCTTGAAAAATTCTGCAAGGAGGCTTGTTAGAACCTGGAACATCCAGGCCACAGGGGGAGACTCTACCGCCAGGCTCACCACCCCTCTATTGGATTGGGTATATACGAACAAAAAATTTCGAACTACCAAACTTCTTAGTTGTTATCATGTAACTGAACACTACAGTAATTAGTCAAAACAAGGCAAAAGAAGCGAAAACACATAGTAAGTTCTTAAATTAACTGATCACTTTCAATCTAGATTGGGATGGATTCATGATGCCCAACCTGAGCTGCTGTGCATATATAAAAAAATACCTGCTATAGTTTGTTCTCCCTGCAAATCTATGGTCATATATATGTCTGTAAGAAGAAGCAATGTGGCAAGTTTCCACCTCCCAAGCTGTTCAGCAAAACAGCAACAAC